TCTCCATAGACCGCAACAGATAGAGTACTCCTTATTGTTGAGTATATTCATAAAATAACTATAATTTGTATCACTTATTTTTTTTAATCCTCACCCGAAGGTATTTTTCCATTGATTTTTAAGAGTGGGAGGGAGGAGGGGGAGAAACATCTATGTGAGAGAGACATCGACTGGTTGCCTCCTTCAGGGGCCCCTGGCAGGGCTGGGGAACAGGAACGAGGGCCCTGGGTGGGGAGGAGTCTACAACGGAGGCACGGGTCCTTGACCAGAATCAAACTGGGACCCTTTGGTCAGCTTGATCCACTGAGCCAAACTGGCGAGGGCTGTTATTGAAGGGGCGAGTCGTCGCGGGGCCTATGTGGGCCAGCCGCCGGGCCCCATGAGACACAGCCTGACCACGCTGCTGGCGGCCTCGGGCACCGACTCCCCAGCCTGGCGCAGGCCGCCACCCGCCCACCGCCCCCGGCAGTGGTGGTGGGGCAGGGCGCGTGCCCTTGCCCGAGGAAATGGAGGAGGAGGCGATCGCTGGCGCCCCAGGGATGAGACAGAGGACATGGACTTCCTGTCTGGGCTGGAACTGGTCGATCTGCTGGACCCCCGGCAACTGGACTGGCCCCTGGAGCCCGGGCTCAGCTCGCCCTGGGAGGGGCTCGGACTGCGCCCTCCCCCTGCTGGCCACGCCCGGGATTTCTTTGAACTAACCAATGACAATCAAGGGACGTGCGCGCCATAGAGATGACTACATCCTGTGTAACAAGACCCGACTAGCGCCTGGCCAATCCGCGGGGCTCACAGTCCCCTCCCCTGCCCTCACTATAAAACCCCCAGTCCCATCAGGCCTCACTCTCTCTCTCCGCCACGGTGGCTTGCCGTTGCACTGGTGAGTGTGGCAGGGGAGCCAGACCTAGGTTTGAAATAAATGACTCTTTGCTTTTGCATCAGACTCGCTGGCTCCCTGGTGGGCTCTTGGGAACCTTGAAATCTGGGCACAACAGTTATCATTTATTTCTTATGGAGTGTAGTGTTAGATATTTTGGGGGGAAATTGGCGTTCCTAGTTAAGGTCAAGTAATTCACAGCTTGAAGCAATAAGCACAGACTCTAAAAGAATCTGACTGCGTCCAGGCATACTTCAGCGCCTAACATCCCACAGGCACTGGCGATATAATTCCTAGTTGGATTATTTCCATGCGCAATGTCTTAATTTCCAGGGGTACAAATCATGCGTGACAAACTAATTTTCTCCATTATGGCACAGGATACACTGAGTACCACAGAGAGACTATAGAGAGTAAATCAATGTAAGTGTGCAGAGTAACGCCATGTGCGCTGTTTCGGATCGCAGTTTGGGGATAAACCTAAAGATCTGTTTTCTTAATTCTTAAAGAAGATGTGTCTGAGGTTGTTCGGGGGCTCTGGTTCAAGACAGTGACACAGGAAAATCCTAGGCTCGCTTCCTCCCGAGAACACCCTGAATCTGCGCTACAGACATTCGGTTCAACGTCCTCCGAAAATAATACCTAAAACCTGAGCCACTCGGGTGCCTCAGGCCCACCTCATCCACGGGGGGAGGGAGAGACCGGGACACCGTCTCCCCATCACCCCGCACCCCCACACCCCACGCAGCAACCGCCTCCAGAGCAAAGTCCACCCTGAGCTGCTTCTTGGGGCGCCTTCCCTGAACCCCACCCCGCACCCGAGAGATGAAACTCAAACGCATCGATCTTTGAAAAACAACTTCCGCCAGACGACACGGACTGAGGAACGCTCCCTCCGCATGGACTCACCTGTCCCTGCGCAGAGGACGCCGATCCAGAGGCCCCCGGGCTTCATGGGAAGGAGGTGAGCGCAACCCTTAGCCAAGCAGAACGCATCAGCCCGGAGGCACACAGCAAACTCAGCACTAACTGGGGGGCTGCTGGGTGGTGAACCCCATCTTCGGCTCTCCCTCTGCCTCCCTCGTGCTAACAGACCCCTTGTTTTCTGCGTTTAACAACAAGCTTTTGTGTTCCGCTTCCTGCGGGAGCCAGTTACTCGCCCTTGGCCGGAGGCCTCCCAGCCGTGGGCGCCATCTTGGGGCTCTGGCCGTGGGCACCGCCTCGGGAAAGGCAAGGCTTTCCTTTTTCCTGTCTTTTCCCTGGCGGGTGCTCCCTAACACTCACCCTCTGTCGAGTTCCAGAGCGCCAGTATGTCCGGGAGGGGGGCCTCTAGCCTTTGCACCTGCCCATACCCCGAGTTTTTGGTTGGTTGGCTGCTGCTGCGTTGCCGATAGTGGGGAGGCCCCTGGATCACCTGCTCCGGAAGCCGGGAGGCTCCGTCCTGGTCTCGCGAGACTGTGACCCCGAGAGTTCCTGGCCCGCTGCCGCCTCCAGGTTCCTGCACAGACCGCGGCTTGACGCACGTCCCTAGTCTTGCCGACAAGACCCATTTTGCTGTCCTAGAGCCAGAGGCTATGGAGAGCTCTCAGGAATAAGACCAAGAATGCAGTCACTAAGTTAGCCCTCTGCCTCGTTCCGCCTCGCCTACGTGTCTCAGGCAGCGGCTCAGACCCTGCCTGGTGCCCCCATTTTGCAGCTGCTGCCAGGGCACCCCTCTCCACTGCCTGGCTCTGGTGGCCAGTGGGCTTAGGCCCTCTGGTCTCACAGCACCACCACCAAGGGGAAGAGCTCCGAAAAGGCGCCCATTGCAACCCACCAGAGCACCGCAAGAGACAAGCACCCAGGGAAAGCCAGGCCTATCAGCTTATCCTTCTAGCGGCACCGGAGGGGCGGGCTCCTAAGGACATACATCTCAGGACTGGCTCTCATCCTCTCCAGAGACTTTGAAGACCTGGCACCATCTTGGCACGCTCCTCTAGCCACCTCCAAAATGTTACTTATAGTTACTGTAACTATAGTGAATATTGTATTGCATGAAACTAATATAATACTGTCAACTGTAATGGAAAATAAAAAAAAATAATACTGTATTGTATATTTGAAAGTAGCTAGAAGAGTGGCTCTTGAAAGTTCCCGTCACAAGAAAGAAATTGTAACTGTATGTGGGGATGGATGTTAAACTGGACTTACTGTGGCAATCGTTTTGCAACGTATACAAATATTGAATCACTGCATTGTACACTTACACTGAAAAAAATGTCAATTATGCCTCAATTTAAAAAAATGTTTTTAAGTAAGTTGTTTGAGCTGCACACTAGTTACTGAGGGTAGCGATGATCATACACACTCTGGTTGGTGAGCCTCAAGCAAGGATGAGCACTTTGCAGGTTTTCAGTAGGCCCTTCTTTTCATTTTTGCTCCAGGAAGAGTGCCTAGTCATTTTGATATATATCAGCAGACCTCTGATGATGGCCTAAACAAAATATCTCATTTCATCTTCTGAAGCAAATTTCCATCAAGAGAATGGAGAGAAAATTCTTACTCACCCAATGCCTAAACTTTCGGTTTTACAGCAGACAGTAAAACTAATATAGCTAATATAACTACAGTATTAAAATAATCCTTGACCAGAAAGCCAAGGTAATAATATAACATTCCTCTTCAGAGTTTAGGAAATAGAAAGCCCAATTTTATACCACAAAAATATTTGATATTTCATTCTTCCATTAGTTCTAAATTAACATGAAAAAAGCTTGCCAATGATCCATAGGAAATTTATCTTCCAGGTAATGAAAGCCAAATAAAATAAGCAACTACAAATAATATAAACGACACATTTATTTAGAAAAATAAACTGAAAATGCTGTTTGTCTGGTACATTATCCCATGAAGCATAGATAAATGGCTATAAAAAACTGTTGTCATATGTCAAATACAAATTACAAATGATTTTTTTAAATTCAGAGAACAAATAGATGTTCAACACAAATGTTTAGTGTACAGTTCACTATATTTGACTTCTTGGCTGTTAATGATATAAAATGATCTTCAATAAAAAAATTTGATCCCTTTTTCATTCATTTGACCACACTGATGCTTTTTTGTTATTATTCTATAGTTATTTTAATCTGAGACAAACCTTTTTTTTTAGATAACTGATTTTTATAGAAGAGAAAGCAATGTCTGCAGAATTCTTAAGTGTTTCCTTTTTGGACTCCTACAAGAAACTGCTTGTTGTGGTCTCAAAACTCATGGGACCATCTGTGCAAATAACAGCACACATCATTACCCTGAATGGAAGTGACAGTGCAAATATTAGAAGTGCATTGAGAAATAATCAGTAAGACTGACTTCCCCCCTCTCTCAAACAATATGGTGTGAAGGACTGAATGCAGAAACATTTCAAGCAATTGACAATAATGCTGTTATTCCATTATGGCTTTAAGGGTATACACAAGATGGCAAACATCCTCTCTGCAAACAGCAACATTCTGTCCTAATACTACTGCTCATTGCCGCAATGCTCCTCTGTTTGTTCAGTTTATTTTTGTCTACATATTTATTTTGAAATGCTGAGTAATTCTGACTAGAGATATTTCCTATCTCTATTTTACCTTCCCAAATGATAAATCAATTGATAATAATGTACTAGCTTAACTGCCAAATATACATTTTCATGGGTTCACATCTGGGAATATTTATTTTCATGGTGAAGGAAGATGGGTTTTGTTTGGTTTCTGTTTTTTGTTGGCTTAATTGTTTAGTCCTTTCTATATATATATATATAT